ATACCGTTAGTGTATGTAGAAGTTAAATGACCCGTATCACAAGTACTTTATTTTTAGTTCTTTGAATCCTTTTTATTGGCTTCTACTACACATGAAATATTGTTGTTTTGGGGGTTCTATCACTGCTATTTTTTGGTCTATTTTGAGGTGGTAATGAATGGACCAACAGTTACATAGGTGTATGGGTTTTTGATTATAATTGATAGGTGTATAGCTTTCTAATTCAATAACACAACTCTGTTTTTAATTTGATGCCAGTTGGTTTAGCATGACTTTTGGTTCTATTATTTGTTTAAGTTCATTTTATGATTAGTTTAGATTCGAGTTGATGTGAACTTTCTAAGTAGGTTTGATTTCATGAAAATTTAGGTTCAGTTTTCAAATAAGGTTGTGCTTACTTTGGGTTTGATTTTGCTATGGTTTGATTTGACTTGAATTTTAGGTTTGATTACTTGATTGAAATCTTGAATTGGGGATTGTGAGTTCTTATTTGATTTTATTTGATATTACATTGCTTGGTTTCCTTAAAACTCACAATTGAATTTGAAGTTTATATCAACTCAATTGGATTTTAGTTTGCATTTATTTTGTTTTTATTACTTTTTTTTGGGGTTGTTTAATTATTTGGGATTGTTCAATTTTGTAGCTACACGAAATTGGATACCACAAATTGTGTAGAGAGTGAAGCTGCTTGCCCCACTACTTTTGTTGAAAGCTCTTCTCATTGCTCGCAAGGTTATGTATTTTTTTTAGTTGGTTTATTTATAAATCATCTATTTTGAGGAATTTTTTGTTATGCCTTTAAGGTACCTGATTTAACATTTGTTCTTGACATGTGAAAGAAGTTTATGCGTGTAATTGAGTTTAGACTTTAGATAATTTTTTGGGTGCTACAGAGAGTTTTGAAGTTTTATTTGCTTCTTTAACATACAAATTTTTTCTTTCTCTTACTTACAGTATTGTTTTTGCTTGATTGATAAATTAATTCAATGTCGAACTTCTTTTTGATGGCACCAATATGGTTTTGGATACTTATTGTTGGTTTACTTGAGTGATATCTAGCAGTAACCTTGCTATTGTTTTGTTATTTATTTTGACCTGTGTTTTATTGATTTCCAACTAAGCAAATTAGAGACGAAGCACATTGTATTAATGCTTTGAAGATAATTACACTAGATTGGTTGTTAAAACATATTCAAATTTATGAGATTTCATTTAGTTATTTAATATGTGAATATTTTTTTTGGTACGCCACTTTTTTTGCTTGAAACTTGAATTAGTACATAGTTTTAAAATAAGTAGTGTTTTCGTTTAATTTCCGCAATGCACAATGATTTTGTTTTTCAATATTTGCTTTATGTTAACTGTGTAGTCTTTTAATTTCAGTTTGATCTTATTAGAAATGTTTATAATGAACCCCGCAACCGATTGACGTGGATTGGGTGCCCGGAAGCCGGGGTTACAGGTTGGGGCAATAGTAGGGGTGTGTTTTCTACAAGTGAGGTGCCGATATTTATCTACCGACAACAACTATGAAAGAGAACCCTCTTGGATGCCAAGTGCTTTCTATGATTGCTATGCTTTATTTTGGGGATATGCTTGGTGGCTTCATGAATTCCATTTAAGTATAAAATTGGGTTATTTGGAATGGTGATTTTGTGGAAAATAGAGTTGAATTGTGATGATTATTATATATGATTTTGATGATTATATGTTTTGTTTGAATTGTGATATTTTTTATTTATAATTGTGAACTATGAATTTTGGTTCTTTGATTGGTTTGGATTATGTAGTGAGCTGTGAATTTTTTTCTTCGATTTGTTTGGTTCATTGAGTAAATTTTTCTTGAGATTGATTATGCAATAGTTTCTGTTGGACATTAATATATATAATAATATATAAGCTCTGTACATAGGTTAAAATTTTTTTAAGTTTCTACTTCTATAGGAAATTTTTTGAAAAAATTAGTAAAAACTTGATTGATTCAATTTCTTTAATTAAAACAAATGAAATCACATTTATTTCAAATTGATAAATTATTTTAGTGGCAAAATGCCTTTAGACAAGGGTTAGTTCTAGGGGTATAAGATAACAATTTTTTTTTCCCTTAAGGAAACACTTTTTCAAACCTTGTAGTACACTTTTTTTTTTTTTTTTATTATTATTATTGACGACTTTTATGACCACAAAAACAGAAAGAAAAAAAAGAGAGTGTGAATTGAATAAGGGACCCACCCTCCCCGTGCCGAGTATTGACCCGAGTCAATAAAGCATTAAGGAATCTACAAGTAACATGAGTCCCGATTAAAAGTGCCAACAACCCTATCACCATAATTAACCTTTGAAAAAAAAGTAAATGGAATTGAGATATAAAAAATTTGGAAAAAGTTATACGTATCGTATTAAAAATTATAATTGTTTTTAATATATAAGGTATAATTGTAAAAGTTATGATTAATTATAAAAAGTAAACATTAAAATTAAAATTTTATAAAAAACAGTACAAACAATACTGATATAAAAAAAGGCGGTATTGTAAAATTTCTCTACTGATATAACTATGTTTAAAACAATAAACTCTCAATCAAAAAATCAAAAAAATTAATTTTTTTATTATTGTACCAGATCACTATTACATTATGAAATTAATAAATTAAATAATTTTTTTATATTCTAATAATGTTACTCTTGGGGAGTACGCAAACACATTATTTTAATAAAAATTGTAGCTCGAAACAACATCGTAGTGGTAAATATTGGTGCAATTATTTAATAAAAAAATAATAAAAATAAGGCTTATTTTTTATTATGAAAGTGGTTATATATTATATAAATGATTGAATATAATTTTAATGCTTCGTTTGGTAAAAAAGATAAAAAATAGAAAGGGTAAAAAATCAGAATGATACATTTTTATCATTCGAGGAAAGAAAGTAGGAATAATACAATTTCATTTATTTGTGTTTGGTAGGATTGATGAAAAATAAAAATGACTAATTTTTTTTTTTTGTACTGGCTAAAATTAGAGGTGACAATAGAGTCGTGTTATGTCAAATTCATGTTGAATCATTACGAATTTATGTCAAATATTAATCAAATGTAACTCAACTCATTTAACTAATTGTCTCGTGTCGTATTCGTGTACGTACTCGTGTTGACCCACATAAATTTTGAATAAAAAATTTAACGATAATATTTTATTTTCACTTAATTGAATCCATATTAATATTTTTTGTATAAAGTAAAAATTAACTTAAATAAATATAATAATAATAATAAGTAAAAACATCTTTTTTATATAATAATTATGTCAGTGGTTAATAAATAGTACAAATAATTAACATATCATGTATATAATATTAGTTAAACATATTAATTTCGTATTACCATACAAACGAGAAAATAGAGAAAGTGTTTTTTTTTAAATAAATGGGTTGATGGTGTCAATTTTAAGTTTGACAGGTTGAACTGAATATCAGTTTTTTATATATCTTGTTGACATGTCAGGTTATTTTCAAATTTATATCATAAAATTCGTATCGAATTCGAGTCATGTTATCGTGTTGAGTCAAAAATTTTCACCCCTAACTAAAAAAGTAAAAATATTTTTTAATTAAAATTTTTAATTTAAATTTATTTTTATTTTTGATTGTTAAATTTATTTTTAAATTTTTTTAAAATATATGTATATATACATATTTTATCATTGCATTTTTATATAAAATTAATATATATATAATATATGTATATGTCAAAAAATATATAAACAAAAAAATATATTTCAACACAAATAATTAACTTTCTATTCATTTTTTCTTTTGATTTTAAAAGAATTGATTTTAATGAGTTAAAAAGAAAATTAATTCATCCACTTTTTTATTCTTCTTATTTTCTTTTTTTACGGGACATAGACATATACATAATATTTTTATTTATTCCTCTTGTTTTACATCTTTTTACTTTTTCTTCTTCTATTTTTTTATCAAACCAAACCGAATATAATAGGACGAATCTATTAAGTAAGGTAGGGTAACAGTTAAGCTTCATATTTTTTCGTGTTTGGGATGACTTCACTTTAATAAATGCAGAGAGCCACACCATAAGATTTTTTTCTTGGTTGTGGCTTTAACTTTTTTTTCCTTTTTGATGGCATAATAAAAAGTACAGATGACAAAACAGATTCCGAAAGAAAAAATATTCAGTTTATCACGCTGTTAATGATAGCTGATATTTATCATCAATCAGCGGATATCACCAATAGAGAGAAAAAAATTCAAAAACAGCCTACATTAAGGTAATATTTTTTGATTGGTGATGAATACCGACCGTCATGATAAAAAGTACAGATGACGAAAGAGATTCTGAATCACTGTTCTGAAAACACATAGGACAAATGACTAGGATTCTAGGTAGGTCCCCCCAAAGCATGTCATGTAATCTATTTTTTTGGAAAGTAAAGTCATGTCTTCTTGGACCGCAAAATTTCTTTCCATATCCTATAAGGGCATGTTTGATATATTTTTTAGAAGAAATTGGATTAAATTATTCAAACCCAAATTTAACTATCTATGTTTAATCTGCGTAGATTATTATGATAATATATTTGTATATAAATAATTATTGTGTCCCTTAATCAATTTATATATATGAGATATATAGGATATATAAGAATATAAATGTCATTTACATGTTAAATTTTCCAAAACTCACAAATGAAACTCACCCCTTGGATTTCATGACTAAGCCATGATCGACCGGACAGAGTTAAAATTATATCCATACTTTATGGTCGTCAAACATGAGTCTAAAAGAGTTTACTCTCCGACCCATATTATCAAACTCTCCAAATCCACGTATCAAACAACCCTAACAGAATCCCACTTCCCAACACCTCCTTCCTCAAAACTTTCGTACTCCTATTTAAACCCACAACTACACTCCACCATTTCACACAAATTCTTGTAGAAAAAACAACCTTACTGATTACTACCTTAAACAAAATGGCTGGGCAGAACTCCAACATCCCTGAAACAAGCTGCTCTTCTGCTCTTGTTCCTATACTTGAACAACCCATAGCCACCATTGGTGATGAAAAACTGGCTATTCCAGTTGAGGCACCGATCGTGTTGTCTTACAATGATCGAATACGCCCACTGCTTGATGCAATTGACAAGCTCCGCCACCTTAACGTCATGCAGGAAGGTATACAGCTCCCAACAATTGTGGTGGTTGGTGACCAATCGTCTGGGAAGTCTAGTGTTCTTGAATCACTTGCTGGCATCAGCCTTCCACGAGGCCAAGGCATTTGCACTAGGGTGCCACTCATAATGAGACTTCAGCATCACTCAGTTCCTCTCCCGGAGCTTCACTTGGAGTTTCTGGGCAAAACTGTCCAGACCGATGAAATCCATATTTGTGATGCCATAAATCAAGCAACTGATGAGATAGCTGGCTCTGGTAAAGGCATATCACACACCCATTAACGTTAGTTGTGAAGAAAAATGGCGCACCAGATCTTACAATGGTTGATTTGCCTGGAATCACTAGGGTGCCTGTTCATGGGCAGCCTGATGATATATATGAGCAGATATCAGCCATAATCAGAGAGTACATAAAACCAGAGGAGAGCATTATCTTGAATGTTTTGTCTGCAACTGTTGATTTTCCGACTTGTGAATCCATTAGGATGTCACAGCGTGTGGACAAGACCGGCGAGAGAACTCTGGCTGTTGTTACCAAAGTCGACATAGCTCCCGAAGGTCTGCTAGATAAAGTAATGGCAGATGATGTGAATATCGGGCTTGGCTATGTGTGCGTTAGGAATCGCATAGGCGAGGAATCATATGATGAAGCTCGAAAGGAAGAAGCTAATTTATTCGAAACCCACCCGCTTCTCTCAAAGATTGATAAATCTATGGTGGGTATTCCAGTTCTGGCCCAAAAGTTGGCGCAAATTCAAGCTGAGATAATTGCAAAATGCTTGCCAGAAATTGTTAGAAAGATCAATGACAAGCTGCGTGCAAACATTTCAGAACTCAACAGAATGCCCCAGAATCTGACTTCTGTTCCAGAAGCAATGTTTGCTTTGGTGCAGATTATTGGTTCCTCCATGGAATCTCTTAGGAATGTTCTCTTGAGAGGTGAGTTCGAGGAATACCCAGATGACAAACAGATGCATTGCACTGCTCGTCTTGTAGAAATGCTCAACCAGTGCGCTCAGGAACTACAAGAGAGTTCAGAAGACAACTGCAAGGACAATTTTCTAATGCAGGAGATACGAGTTCTTGAGGAAACCAAAGTCATTGAGCTACCAAATTTCCTTCCTCGCACGGCTTTTCTCATGATCCTGCAGAAAAAAGTAAATAAGGTACAAGGAGTACCGGTTGAGTTTGTCTCTAAAGTATGGGAGTACATTGAGACAGTGGTGGTTGCTGTTTTAAAGCGTCACTCTAAACATTATCCACAGCTAGAGTCATCTACAATAAGAGCAGCCCAGAACCTTATTGCCAAGAGGAAGGATATGTCAGCTGATCGAGTGGTGGAGATAATTGAGATGGAGAAGACCACAGGTTATTCTTGCGATCCTGAATATCTGACATTATGGGGTAAGCTCATGGATGGTAAAGACCAGTTCCTTTATGTTATGAATAATTATTCGAGGTCCACACGGATCATCATTGATGGTTTTGGGGAAGTTGAAGTTGGGCATTTAAAGTCCTTCCCTATTATTAGAGACCTAGCATTTGACATAAAAATGAGAATTACAGCATACTGGAACATTGTTCTGAAAAGACTCGTTGATTTCATGGCTCTGAACCTGCAGTTCAGTATCAAGAATCTGGTGAACAAGGACATGGAGATGGAGGTAGTGAATGAACTCATGGGTCCTCATGGTGGTGGACTTGAAAGGTTGCTAGAAGAATCGCCGTTGGTGACCATAAAGCGTGAGAGATTGAACAAAAGTATCAAGTTGCTGAAGGACTCTAAGGAAGTTGTTGCTAAGGTCATGAACAGAATTGCGATCAATGCGGATTAGGTTTTCTCTGCATCTTGCTTTTAATTTGTTGGTTGTAGTCTGCAATATTTGAAGGTTTTTTGTTTTGGTAGGTTTGCTTTGTCCGAATGGCTGAAATCCCATATCATTGTGATGGGAAACTCTTCTGTGGCATTAATGTTATGTTTGTGTTTGGTAGTGTGTTGCTAAGCTATAAAGAATTCCAATGTAATGGAAAGTATTATGCGTTAGTGGATGATATTGACTTGTCTCTTTCAGCCACTGGATTTGTAATTACACTTTGATTCAGATGTATGGTTTGAGAATGATTTTTAATGATGAGTAAAGCCATTTACACTTAAAAAATGTGACTTAATTTGGTTATTGTACTTGATTTAATTGTGAATTTTAACATTATGGGAGCGAGTAATATAATTAGGACCTAACTTACTCTTGGGACCTAACGATCTAACCTAATTTATGGATCTAATAATGTGGTTAATTGTAACTGTTGGATTAACATTAAATTTTAATGTTTAATGGGTCTCATAATTAATTCAATGATTATAATAAATTAAATAAAAAAAATTAAGTTAATAAATTAGGTCTCAAAAATATTGTTCGGATTGAAACCCACTATTTATTATGATTCATCAAGTCTATAAATCCAGCTAACATTTTAAGTCAAATTATATTCGGTCCTCTAGAGATTTATTGCTCAATGAGATACACACTTCCATATTTTTTAAATTACATAGAGACCCCTTATAGATAGGGATGTGAGTGGATCAAATCGGGGGGGCGGGGGTGTAACTTCATCGTCGTACCCTCTTAAAAACCTCCGTCTATCTCCGGTCCACTCCATTAACGGATATAATTTTCATTCACATTCTCGTCTGCGAGTAAATTTATAATCGCCACCTCATCCCCGCATTCACCTCCCACCTCCCCAAGTTCAAACTCAAGCCAACATAATCAAAAATTCTAAATAAATTTAACATTTTAAATAATCCACCAACATTCTAAATAATCAAACATAATCTACCACAAACATAATATAGCATACCATAATTTCGAAATCAAATACTTGTTCAATACACTGGCAATGCGTATAACTCTGTCATTCACCATTGGATCCCGAAAACTGATAACAATTTCTTCATACATTCTAAATAATATTAGTAACCCACATCACAAATTCAACAAACCAATGACAAGGCATGATCTTCATACCTGTAAACCAACGACAACCATGAAGTTAGCCTCCCTCTACACATGCACAAACTGATTTTGCAGCCTACCCAGGAGAGACCCACAAAAATGCACAAAAAGCCATGGAGAGACCCACAAAAATCAGCCATGAATATGCAAAAATGCACAAAAATCAGCCATGGAGACACCCACAAAAATGCACAAAAAACACAAACACACAAAGCATATGGAAGCTCTGCAACTTACCTAGTCCGCGGATAGTGGACAGAGAGAGACTTACTGCTCAGCTGGCAGTGGAAAGTGAAGAGAGACGATGGAGAGAAGATGATTGAAAGAGAGAGAGAGTGTTGTTGACCGCAGTTGCGTTACCTGCATAGGAGAGTAGAGAGACATGCACTTCATTCGTTCTTCAGTGGAGGGCTTGGACCGGAATGAGTGGAGGTGGGGGCGACGTACTTGTTTAGGCTGATATTGGAAAGGACTGAAGAAGTAAGTTAGGGTTGAACATATATTTAATTTTATGTATAAAACGGGGATATAGGGAGGGGAGGGGCGGGCGGCCGTGGGCTGGGAAGGGGTAAGAGTAAATCTATTTTCGTATTTATTTTTGGATGGATTTATACGGATAATTTCGTATATGTTTATCGTCTAATGTATACGATCTATCTTCGGTTCAAATCAGACCGTTTTAGATGAATATTCGTTTTTCTTCGGTCTACTGTCATCCCTAGTTATAAGTTAGTGTGTCATATCAAACTTAACAGAAGTTTTAAAAGACCATTTTACCCTTTAAAAAAAGTGAAAATTAGAATTGAATTCTCTTGGATAAACTTATAATGACTTGAGTTTGTCGAAGAAATTTAGTTAGTGTTAAGTTCATTTTTTATCTTATTAATAAGTATCTAAATCCAAAATTTCTTTAAATTCTAAAAATATCTTTAGTAGTATTATTTTGTTCAATTATAAATTCTTAAAGATATTGAAAGTAGCTTTAAATTAATTTCTTAAATTAGAAATTATTATCCTTTAATTCACTCTTAAATTTAAATTTATATTAGCTCTCTCTCTTGCATTAGAAGAAGATCATCACTCAAATACAACAAATTTTTCTCCTTAGATATCATTTCTTTCTCCATAGCATCAAAATCAGTAGGATTTGAAACATCATCAACAACTACCATATCTTATACTGTTTTCTAGTCATTATGAACTTCTATGTCTTTGGATTTCGAGAAAAAAAGGTTTAAAAACTTGCTCAATATGTTATTAGTTTGATCCTCAATTTTATTTTTATTTTTTTGATAAATAATCTCCAAATTTTTTCAATGTTTTCATGTTACTACGTTTTTTGTTGACCATGTTATTATTTTTTTCTAATTGACCATGTTATTACTTTTTCAGTGTTAATTTTTTTTTATGCTGAAGAATTGAAAGCGTCTTCCTCTAATTATGGGTTTGAATGCTACTATTTTTATTTTTAATTTTGTTCGATGTTCCATATATTATTATTTTTTTGGTTGAGCATGTTGCTGTTTTGTTAAGTATGTTACTATTTTTGTATGTTAGAGTATGTTACTATTTTTTTTTAAAATATTACTATTTTTCTTTGTGTTTAAATAGTATTATTTTTTGTGTTTAAATGACAACTTTTTTTTGTATTTAAATGTTACTCTTTTTTTATTTTTAATGTTACTATATATAGTCCTAACATATATATTGATACCTATATAATAAAACACTTAGCAATTTGAATTTTATCACATACATATTTTTTCTCTCAAAAACATCACATCACCCATTTTTATCACAAGTTCAATCATTTAAAATTTAATTAATTTGTAGTTTAATATAATTATATTTTTGATATTATATATATACGATAGTATACACATACTGAGAAAATTTTGTCAAATTATGTATTTTAAGAAAATTTTAATATTTTAAAGAAAATAATAGGTAAAAATAAATTTTAAATAATGTAATCATAGAAATGAAGGAAAAAATATTATTTAATACAGTGAAATCGATTTTTTGGACATTCAAATTTTATATTATATCGTGTTTTCACGCACGGATTGTGACTAGTAGATCGATATGAGAGAATTTTTTTTTTTTAATGTTAGTCAAACTCTTAAAATTTATGAATTTTTAATATTTAATTTATTTCACTTCTAAAGGGAAAGATAGTCTAGTAAAATTAACAAAAAATAAACTTCATAACAAATAAGTTTATTTGGTGAACTTAAGTCCAAACAAATCTATATAAAGGAACCGACCACTAAATTTTCCTGGAAAAAAGAAAATATAAGCAACCCACCCATATCTAAATATTCACACCAAACCCATTTCAAACCCAAATCTTAAGCCAATACCCATACCCGAGTTTTGAATCAAATAACTCCACCAACCCTTCCTTTCTCCGCGACCCACTGCCACCTCCCTCATCCATTCCCCCCCCACCCTCTGTTTCTTTGAATCCTATCAATCACCACAACCAGCCCCATCCCCACTCCCTAATCACCTGCGCTCCACTACCATTCCCAGTCTCCCCGAATCTGAAATCAAAACCCACCTACTGTTAAACCAAAACCCCCAATTGGCAACACTGTTATCACCTTAGACCAACAAACCCAAAACAACACAAGCAACATTGTTGCATGAGGAAGGGAGGGCCGTCTGAGTTTGGTTTCAAGGGATGGAGCCGAATGGTATAGAGTGGCAGTGAATGCAGTGAATCGTTCGTGGCAGAGGGCCGAGAGCATAACCTGTTAGGCACATCATACGTATGCGCTGTCACCTGCACTTCTATGCATATGATTATTTTTTAGATTTTTATTATTTTATTAGTTTTGGGATTTTTATCCTAAATTAATTGTATGGATAGAAATTATGAATTTTGGGTTAAATTAAGAGATTATTGAGCCAACTGTTGTAATTGGCAAGGAGTCTAGTTAGTAGAAGCCTAGTTAAGAGGTCTATTCTATTTATATCATCCTGAACATCATTTTTTTGGCAAAAAGAATTTTAATAGAACTTTGAGGACGATTCTCCTTGAAGTGAATCAATTTCTCTTAGGATCCTTGGATCCTACTATCTACTATCAGAGAAGTTCTTTTCCTGGTATTATCATGGTTACTGTGAAAGAATTGATTGAACGTGTTGAGCAACTGAAATCACGAAAGGATCACCTTGCGGGTGGAGTTAAGGAAATCAAAGAAGTCATTCACGTGATTCAGGCATCCTAAGACCAATTGGTGATGGCCCCCCGGGTAGACCGACAAGCCCCTCTTACTGCTGCTACATTGCAAATGGCGGATGAGCAACTAGTGAATTTACAAGATAGGTTGGTTTTACAAGGGCGGCTGATTTGTATTGATTTTTCAAGATTTGATGGCGAAGATCCGGAGGGTTGTATTTTTCAAGTTGAGCAATATCAACACCTTCATGGACTCACCGATGCACAAATGGTGCCATTGGCTTCCATTCACCTAACTTGAGTGGCTACGTCGTGGTATCACTGGATGGTTCGTTTAATTGGTGTCATGTCTTGGACACAATTCACTAAGGCTCTATGTTTACATTTTGGTTCACAATAAGATATGGACCCTGCAGCTTCTTTGTCTAAGCTTCAGCAGACTAGTTCTGTGCGAGACTACCAAACAAAGTTTGAAATTTTAGCAAATCGGGTAAATGATTTACTTGAATCCTATTTGATTAGTTGTTTCATTTCGGGACTACGTGAAGACATCAAGGTTGGGATCTGTATTTTGCGTCCTTCGGCTTTGTCAAAGGCCTTAGATTTGGCTATTTGTAAGGAGGAGTTTGTTTGGGCTTTACAAGACTACTTCATCAGGAAAACGCAATAGAAATCATGACCTAATCGAAACCAGGTACAAAATACTTCTTCAACTTCTCCTTACACAACATCCCCAAGCTTACCATCAAAACGTCTCATTATTTTTGAACAAAAAGAAAGGTGAGAAAAAGGGCTATGCTTCAATTATGACGAACTTTTCAAGCCTGGCCATCGCTACAAACGTCCTCAACTGTTGTTCATGGAAGGAGATGATGCATCAGAATACAACCAAAAGGAAAATGAGGAAGACTCTTCTGGACTAGAGATTTCTATTCATGCAATTTCTTGTACCAATCAGCCTGAAACTATGTGAATTATTGGCTATTTAAAGAAACAACCTATTACAGTGTTGGTCAACTCTGGATCAATCCATAATTTTCTACATCCTTCTCTAGCTTGACGTTGTGGTTATCTTGTGCACAACACTACTCTAATTCGTGTGACCATTGCCAACGAAGGAAGTCTTCTTAGTCATGGTAAGTGTAATGGAGTTGGCCTAAATTTGCAAGGTTATTGCTTTAAATCTAATTTTTTTTCTTATTATCGGTGAGTGGATGTGATATTGTCCTGGAGGCTGCTTGGCTTCGTTCCTTAGGCGCCATTACTTGGGACTTTGCTAAATTAATTATGAAGTTTATTCTGAATGGCCAAGAGTTCAAGTTAGTAGGTAATAGATCCTCAATCAACACTATTGTTGATCAAGGCGAACTTCACAGGTTGAGGCTCCAAACCAACAATGTATTCTTGTTACAATTGGTGGCTGCAAACATTGATGTAATGCAGAAGGAGGTTCCTCTTGAAATCAGTCGTATTCTTGACCATTTTAGGGATGTGTTCGGTGACCCTAAGGGACTTCCTCCTACACGCACTCAAGATCATCGTATTCCACTAATTCCAGGAAGTGTTCCAACCAATGCTTGACCATACCGTTATCTTTATTTTCAAAAGGATGAGATTGAGAGATTGGTTAAGGAAATGTTGGTTGTTGGCTTGATTCGGCCGAGTGTTAGTCCTTATTCATCCCTAGTGCTACTAGTGCGGAAAAAAGATGGTTCTTGGCGGGTGTGCGTGGACTATCGCTCCCTTAATAGTATTACAACGAAGGATCACTTTCCCATTCCAGTTATTGATGAGCTGCATAGTACTATGATTTTTTCTAAATTGGATCTTCGTTCTGGTTATCATCAAATTTGTATTCATGCACTAGATATTCCAAAGACTGAATTTCGCACTCAAGATGGCCACTATGAATTTCTTGTCATGCCTTTTGGGCTTTCTAATGCACCAGCCACCTTTCAAAGTTTGATGAATGATATATTTCAGCCTTATTTAAAGAGGTTTGTCCTTGTTTTCTTTGATGATATACTAGTCTATAGCAAATATGTTCAAGACTATATTGAGCATTTGTCATTAGTGTAACAATGTTTGCGCCAAAATCACCTATATGCTAAACAGTCCAAGTGTTCTTTTTCCAAGTCATCTATGAACTATCTTGGCCATATTATTTATAGAGAAGGGATTAAGGTGGATCCTGAGAAAATTTGATGCATGATTGAGTGGCCTAAACCCAATACTCTTAAGGCTCTACGAGGTTTTTTGGGGGTCACTGGCTATTACAGAAAATTTGTGCAAAATTATGGTCAAATTGCGGCACCCTTAACTCACATGCTCAAAAAAGATTCTTTTGGATGGTCCTAGGATGCAGAAATTGCTTTGAGAAATTAAAGCATGCTATGACAACCACACCAGTGTTAGCTTTGCCCGATTTTTCTCAAGAATTAGTTTTAGAATGCGATGCTTCAAGTAGGGGAATTGGTGTCATTCTTATGCAGCAAGGGCAACCCTTAGCCTTTGTTAGTAAAACTCTTTCTAGGAAAAATTTAAATCTTTCGGTCTATGATAAAGAAATGATTTTCATAGTCTTTGCGGTGAACAAATAGCGATCATATTTATTAGGTTGCCACTTCACAATTCTTATTGATCATAAAAGTTTGAAATTTTTTATGGATCAACATGTTTCCTCGCTTGGGCAACAAGAATGGGTTACCGATATATGATTATACGATAGTCTTTTGAAAGATGACAGAAAATCGGACTGCAGATGCTTTATCTAAGCAAGCTGAAGAGTCTACCTAACATGTTATTTCTTCTCCTATATTTTTCGACCATTAGCGAGAACACTACTGAATGCTTGACTAATCTTTCTTTGTCCCCTATTCTTACTCGATTACGACAAGGTGTGTCTACAAATTTGGATTATTCTCTTTGTGATGGTTTTTTACGTTACACAAACCGAGTGGTGGTTCCCTCTTCTTCTCCTTGGTGTTCCAAAATTCTGTGGGAATTTCATGCTTCCCAAATTGGTAGTCATTCCGGGTTTTTACGGACATATAAGCAAATCCAACGTAATTTTTATTGGAAAGGTCTCAAAAGGGCTATTAAGAAGTTTGTTGTCGAGTGTGATGTTTGCTAACAGAATAAATCTGAAAGTGTCTCTCCACATGGTTGCTATAACCTCTACCAATTCCGGTGGAAGTATGGACTGATATTTCTATAGATTTTATTGATGGGTTACCTCTTTAATTTCACAAAACTTCTATTATGGTTGTAGTTGATTGACTATCCAAATATGCCCATTTCTGTGCACTTGTTCATCCTTATTCAGCAACTACAGTGGCTGAAATTTTTGTTCGAAAAATTATATGTTTACATGGGATGCTTAAATCTATTGTTAGTGATTGAAACCCTGTTTTTATGAGTCAATTTTGGGAAGCATTTTTTGAATTGCAGGGTACTAGTCTTTGTCGAAGTTCAGTTTACCATCCCCAATCAGACAGACAAACTTAAGTGGTTAACCGGTCCCTTAAGGCTTATTTGCGTTGTTTTGCAAGCCAACAACCTTCCAGTTGGATAAAGTGGTTGCCATGGGCTGAATGGTGGTATATCATTATCTTTCAATCTTCATTGAAAATGACGCCTTTTCAAGTAGTTTATGGTCGGCCTCCGTTGCCCATTGCTTCATACCTTCCCATACTATTGTTGTTCATTCTAAAGATGTTACCTTGAGTGATCATGATAGTATACTGTGACTACTCAAAGAAAATTTAAATGATGCCCAATCTCGCATATAATATTTTGTTGACCGTCATTGAACCAAACGTTCTTTTAGTATGGGAGATTGGGTTTTTCTCCAACTTCAGTCATATCAACAAATTTCCTTGTGTCCCCACGGGCCATATAAGCTCTCACCACGATTTTATGGCCTTTTTCGTGTTCTTTCACGCATTAGAGAAGTCGCTTATAAACTGGATTTGCCGATAGAGTGTCGTATCCATTCAGTCTTTCATGTTTCTTGCCTCAAAAAGAAATTTGGAGAAATGGTGTAACCTGCTCCACAGCTCCCTCCCATTTTTGATAGTGGCGTTATCACTTGGCAGCCACTTCGCATTCTGGATCGTGATTTGTTTAGGCGCAACAATAGGCCAGTTACACGCTTTCTTGTCCAGTGGACTGACTTTTTTGCTTCTGATGCAACTTGGAATGATTATTCAAAATTTGTTGCTCATTTTCCAGCTTTTCCAACTTGAGGACAAGTTGGGATTTCAAGGAGGAGTGAATGTTAGGCACAGCTTACGTATGAGTTGTCACCTGCACTTCTATGCATATAATTATTTTTTAAACTTTTATTCTTTTATTAGTTTTGAGATTTCTATCTAAAATTAGTTACGAGGATAGAAATTATAAATATTTGGGTCAGATTAGGAAATTATTGAGCCAAGAGTTATAAGTGGCAAAGAGTCTAGTTAGTAATAAATGTTGAAGGACGATTCCCTCGAAGCAAATCAATTTCTCTCAGGATCCTTGGATCCTATCATAACCGACAATCTGTGGAGATGGTCAACCGGTGACAGCGATAGTACTCCTTGGCTTTGCAAATTACTCACTTCTGTGCTTCACCCCCAGTTGTTTCACCATGGTATAGCCTCGCATCAGGTGGGTTTTTGGGAGTCCAATGATTTCCACCAAAAACCACAATAGAATCAGGTGGGTTTTTGGAGCTTTTATTTGCACCAAAAGCCGGGTCCTCGTAGAATATCCTACCCAGAGAGAGAAGAGAGAGAGGTGGCTAGCGGTGGCGCTGGGTCACGTGGGTGTGTGGTGGTTGTTTTGGCAGAGGGATGCCGAGTATATGCTTCGCAGTTGAGCATTTTGGGGTTTGCTGCAAAGGTGGATGGTGGTTTTGGGATTTGTTAGTAGAGGAGAGTGTAGCAGTCGGTGGTGTTCAGAGGTGCATGTGGTTGTGTTGGGAAGGGGAAGCGGAGTAGAGGGTAATTATTGCAACATATTGATTTATTTAGGTGGTAAAAGATTTTTAAATGAAAATGATGGGGTAATTTGGGAATTTTGTATGATGCAGGGATGTCATCGAGTTTTAGAATGTTGTTCTATTATGTGTTACATGTGAATAAATTAAAGGGGTTTTGTGTAATTTATCAAATGTGAGGGGGTCTATTTAATTAAGTGATAAAGTTAAGGGGGCTTGATGTATTTTACCCAAAAAAATAAACAAAATACCAAAGAATTCAGCCAGAAACAATAAAACTTTACCTTTCTTTCCTTGCATACAATTGAAAATGAAAAAAATCTTTTCAAGAAATCAACAACGATGACAACATTTGCAATACCGGTATAACATGTTCTTTTGTAATTCTCCCCTTTATACACAACAAATAGAAACTCAATTTTCATACCACCCAATTGACAATGTCTAAGAACCTCTACATGTTTTTTTTTAAAAGAAACTCAAAATTTAAGAACAAAAATCTAACTGCTATCTTTTTGTTTGCCACCCAAATTAAAAAAATTGGTCAGGCGATCTAGCTCATCTCCCAAACCCCGTTATAGACTGAAGTTTTGTGCATTGGGTAGCTTTCGTTTTAATCTAGCTCATATCTTCCCTTTTCCAGGCAAGCACCAGTGCACATAGTCGTTATCCAGAGTCTTATTCTCAATTGACCAATGCCCATATTTATCAGGATGACCATCTGGTCTCAACAACATAGGTTGTGTTGTATCAAGCAACCTAAATTTAAGCCCTCTCTGTCTGCATACTCTCTTTGCAATTCTGATCTCCTGCAATTGAATCATATACATCTCCAAATTATAACCATCCAAAACAACCTCATTAACACCAAAAGGCCTTGACCTAGCACATTCTCCGCCCTTGTCTCAGGAAAGTCCTCTTGAGAGACAAGTTCGAGGAACACCCAGACGACAAACACATGCATTGCACTGCACAACTTGCAGAAATGCTCAACCAATGTGCTCAGGAACTGCAAAAGAGTTCAGAAAATAACTACACGCACAATTTTCTAATGGAGGAGATAAAGGTTCTTGAGCAAACCAGAGGCATTGGGCTACCAAATTTCCTTCCTCGCACGGCTTTTCTCATGCTCCTGCAGAAAAAAGTAAATGAGATATCAGCACCACCAGTTCAGTTTCTCTCTGACGTATGGGACTACATTGAGACAGTGGTGGTTGCTGTTTTGATGCGAACTCTGAACATTATCCACAACTAGAGTCATCTACAAGAAGAGCAGCCCAGAACATTATTGCCAAGAGGAAGGAAATTTCAGTTGATCGAGTGGTGGAGATAATTGAGATGGAGAAGATCACCGCTTACACTTGCGATCCTGAATATATGACACTACGAGGTAAGCTCATGGCTAACAATAACGTCTTCCTTGACGTTATGAATAATAATTGGAAGTCCACACAGATCACTTTTGATGGTTTTGGGGAAGTTGAAGTTGGGCATTTGCGGCTCTTCCCTAATATTAGAGACCACGCATTTGACATAAAAATGAGAATTACTGCGTACTGGAAGATTGTTCTGAAAAAACTTGTTGATTGCATGGCTCTGCACCTGCAATTTAGTGTTAAGAGTCTGGTGAACGGGGACATGGAGATGGAGATAGTGAATGAACTCATGGGTCCTCATGGTGGTGGACTCGAACAGTTGCTAGAAGTAGCGCCATCGATTGTCATAAAGCGTGAGAGATTGAACAAAAGTCTCAAGCTGCTGAAGGACTCTAAGGAAGTCGTTGCTAAGGTCATGGACAGAACTGCCATCAATGCTGATTAGGTTTTTGCATGTTGCTTTTAATATCTTGGTTCTTGTCACAGTTCACCTTATGTTGTTTCACATATTTGAAGTTTTCTGTTTTGGTAGTTTTACTTGCTAGAATGCCTGAAATCCCATATCATTCTGCTGGAAATTCTTGGCATTATTGTTATGTTTGTGTTTGGTAGTGTGTTGCTAAACTATTTCAAATAATGCATTGCAAACTAATGGAAAGTATTATGCGTTAGTATATGATATTGTCTTGTCTATTTCATCTGGTGGATTTGCAATTAGATTTGATTCAGATGCATTGCTGAAAATGATTTAATGATTATTATGGTACATATTCCAAAAGGTTGCCAACCTTCCAATTTAACTGATGTTCCAACTTTCTTTCAGCTAATTTTTTCAAATTACTATTTTTCACAAAAAAATTAGGGTAATTTACAAAAAACAAATCTCATGGAATTTGACAATTAGCAACTTCCCTCATGTGGTTTCTGACAAATGTATGAGCACCTCCAACCCTTACTCTCAAATCTCTACTCAAATTTAAATTTAAGTAAAAACTAGTTAAAAACAAGCGTTAATCCTTTACTTAAATTAATGTTAAATGAAAATAAACTCAAATTTTTACTCAAATTAAGAGAAATTTAAAACCTTTACTTAAATCATCAATGATTAGTTTTCATTCTCCTTCAAAGAGCTAATGATCATATTTCAACCTCCTTTAAATTTAAATTTTTTCCCAGCTTTAAATATGAGTTTGTCCATTGAAATCCTTCGTAACAAATTAAGTTTTTTAGTTAAACATTGACTTAAATTTGAATCAAGATGGGAGATACTCTAATTTAGCCCACTTATATTTTTCATTTAATCATTGCAAATTGATTAAAGTAACCCCTACGCTCTTAGTACGAACAAACTTGGATTTTATGAGTATGCTGAGCTTTTTTCTCTATGCTACAAAATGTTAAGGATAATAATTATGGTCCACATAGGGGGCAAATAAAATATCCTCACTCGGACAGTTGATCGCAAGTTACATAGCCATTGAACCAGTTAGACCTAAATGAGATTTGGGTGAAAATGAAACAATGAGGTTTTTGACAAAAATGGTGAAGGATTTGGAAGAAGAAAGTTATTGGACAAGAGAATTGATTAAAAATGTATGGCATAATTGTTTTTTTCATTTTTAAGTCAATCAAATCATGAAGAAGAAAGAGAAGTCCCACAATTATAATAGCAACAATTATTTGGTTTAATTGTTGACGCTAACCCTACAGTCAATTTAACCCCAATACATTCTTTTCTTTGGTTCCTTATGCTTGAGTAAACTAATGAATATTCATCACGATACATGATTAAAGAGAAACATGGAAACGAAAGACCTTCAAGTACTTGTATTTGGACTTGGTAAAACGAACTAGGCATAACAAATATACCAAATGATTTAGAACCAAAGCTTTATGGATATTAGTTTATCAAATAACAATCTCAATAAAGTTCAATATCATCTCCAATTTTCTTGGGCGATTTCAGACATTAGAATGTGTATAGGTGAGAACTACAAGAATCTTTTGAGATAAAAATATAAAAATTTTCCTTTTTAAAAGATAAAAAGGTGGGCCAAAAGAGTAGATGAGGAGAAAGAAAGAGAGGTACTAACCTTTGTTCTCATCACTACCGCGATCTATCTTTACATCAATTCATGTTCCTCATTGCAGTCTCTGAGGATTGTTATTAATGATTCATCCCTCCAGGCAATAATCCAGAAGATTCAACTAGCATAAAAAAATAGCATAAATGTGATATTTATAGTGGAAGTTGGGTTCCATACCCCAAGGAACCACATTACAAAAACGCAACAAAATGTGTGATCGATGGTCGACAAAACTTAATGAAATTTGGTAGGCTAGACGTCGAATTAATTAATTGGAGGTGAAAACCAGATGACTGCGAAGCATGAGCTACCCCTGTTTGATGCAACTCAGTTCTTGGAACTCGTCAAACGGTCAAAGGGAAGTCTGTGGCCTTTGTTTGGACTTACTGGTAAGGAACCAAATGCAGTCATAATGTTGTATCTTTAAGTTCTTATAACATACACTTGTTTACTGCTAACCTTGTATTCAAGTTAAAGTCGATAATGGCCTGATTTGTGTTGTGTCTAAGTTTTGTTGTGCCAAATCTTGTTCAATTCATACTCAATCCATTTATAGTAGTACATAGTTCGGTTTTTGTAATGTAGAGTTGTTTTCATGTCAAGCATATATGAGAACTTGTGATGACTCATTTATTAAGTAGGTTTGACAGATATATATGTTCATGATTCAAACCCGTTAAGACTGAATCTATACCCATTAATTCCATATCAATTGCGTGTTCCAATAATGTATCACGCCTAGAATTCACAAGCCTAACTGAAGTGGTGGTTGCTTATTTTTGTTGTTTATTTTTAAATGGCAAAACCCATGGATGTATCTTACATTCTTACATATAAAATACAAGATTCTAATGCTGACTTTTTTTTATTGACGATCAACAACAAATATTTTATTAATATAGAAAAAAGATTACACGAGGGACAAGTAGTCCATCAATATGAAACAATATAAAAGTAGATGCAACAAGCTAAAAAGTGAAGATTACAAGCCACACATTGACTTCCAATAAGCCCAAATAAAAATCAAGGAATTCCAAGAAAAATGATGAATTTAATCATAGCAGCTTTGTGGTCCACTCACTTAGTTAAATCAACGCTGATCCTAATGTTCATTCTCTCAGCAGCTTCTTGGACCTCTACTTAGATCAAGTTGATTAGGCCTTGGTCGCTCAGGTAGTGAATTTTGATTTTGCGATCATCTCGTCTGGGCAATAGTTCTCTAGGCACTCTATCTACTATGAAAATTGCCAGGTTGTTGGGTATCATATTTTCCATGAAAAAGAATCGCCAGCCAGGAATCAGGGACAGAGAATGGCCTTCGGCCAGAACCACCTTTCGAGCCCTTCAAGCCTTCAAAACTTCAAGAGGGTGACATTTTTTAGGATGTTCTCACCACCAGATTTTGAGAATAGGGGGTGAAATAATGTGGCAATTGTGTAAGGACAAAGCCATTCTCAAAGCAAGAAACGAAAATAGATTGGAATATTATAGAGTTTTATTTTACTCAAGTTGAGGAACTAAGAGCAACAGAGAGGGAAGGGAGGAAGAGGGGATTGAAATTTAGGTTGTTTGATACCACTAAAGTAATGGTGTTTAGGCCAGATGGTCACTGCCCATATGAAAATATAATCATGACCGTAGCTGATTGTGTCCACTTGTGCTTGCCAAGCCCCATTGATAAAAGGAATGAGTTTTTGCTTCATAAATGGAATGAAGCCCATAAAAAATTTTTGTTAGATATTGGATAACCGTATTGATATCTTTCTCACCCACCAAAAATAAACCTAGACGGATCAAAAATTAAAGAGGCAAAAACATGTTCGTATGTGTGTGTGGGTGTGTGAAGAAATTGATGTTTGTCATAGCTGCTATATTGATTTTTCAGCCGTTATATAACGAAATGACTGGTAACAGAAAACACAGACAATATGTAGACAACACATTCGTTTGATATTTTGGGTGTTTTGTATTGATTTGATATTTTTGGGTATTTTGTAACTTTTCTATAAATTTTCTCATATTGGGTGTTGATTTGGGTGTTTTCTCATAATGGTTTGATAAGCTTTGTAAGAAATTAAATGATAGAATTGTAGGATTTTTATTTGGGATTTTTCATAGTTAGGGTTTTGTAGTTGTTAAAGGTATTTGATTTAATGTTGTTAAGTTTATTTTGATTACGATTGTGCTTTAATTTCATTTTTTCAATTTTTTATGAAATTGGATGTTAAGGTTTGTGATATTGACTTCATTATTTTCAAATTTGATGCTAATTTTATGACATAGAGTTTTGATGATTAATTTTTGTGGAATTAAAATTTAGGTTTGCAATTGACCGTTGGAGCTTTAAAATTGAATGTTAGCGTTATTTTAATTGGAATGGGTGTTATTTTGATTGAAATATTAGTGTTTATTATTTTAATGAAATACTATATTTAGTGTTTTGATTGAGATTTAATGTCAATTTCATAAAATAGGGTTTGTTGGCTTTTTAGATGTTAGGGTTTTTGTTAGTCGAATGAGTTAGGATGTTGCGTTGATGATTATTGTCCGTTAATTGTATGAAATAGTTTTTTTGTAAGATGGGGATTTTATTGAATGTTATAGTTGTTAGTCACATTTTGATTGAATGTTATAGTTATTGGTGGTATTTGAGTGAATGTTATGGTTTTGAAATTCAATGTTAGGTTATTTTGATTGCGTTTGGGTTTTGATTTCATTTTTTTTTAAATAACATTATATTTTTAGGGTTTTATAATTGAATGTTAGGATTATTTTGCTGGAATTGGTGTTAATTGTACATTGTTTATGAAATTGACTGCATAGCCACTATCGTTGAAACTAAAGACCATCGAAAAATGGATGATGTTACTATTTTTTTCAGTGTAAGTTCATCATTTCCTTAATTCTATCTAAACATCTCTTATTTGTGTTTTTGAGATTACTTTTGAATTTAAATGGTCAATATTTGATTTCGTTCTCTTTTATTCTTTGGTTAGTGTCTAAATTTGAAATTCTTTGTTCACATTGTGAGTTGATGTTGAACTGTTTTAATGTCGAGGAAAAAATATTTTTTGTGCATATATATTTTGATGTTGAATGAGTTCTTCAATTTTTGAAATATTTAACTCTAATTTTTGCTCCTTAGTTCTAAACAATTTGATATTTGTTTAATTTGTAGGCTCATGTACTTTGTTAATGCTCTCTTCTTCAAAGAGTGCATATAATTTCTTATACAATGCTATTCTTTTTGTGTTTACTTTTCTAGACGTGATGAATAGTGATAATTTCATAACAATAATTGCAATGAAAGTTGTATTGATGAAAATAATTTGGATAAAAGGCATATGCTTCATCGTTG